ACCTAGGTTTGGTGCTCAGTACTCATGTTAGATAGCTGACAACCACCTGTAACTTGAGCCTCAGAAGGTCCAGAGACCTCTTCCTTCTTTCGTGGGCACCTTCACTCACATGTATACACACACACACACACACACACACACACACACACACACAGAGAGAGAGAGAGAGAGAGAGAGAGAGAGAGAGAGAGAGAGAGAGAGAGAGAGAGAGAATTAAAATAAAAAATAAATCTTAAAAGAGTCCACACATCTTATTTTCCAAAGAACCTTGTCCACCTCAGAATGATTTTATTGTTTTGACAGTGAAAATATAATACAATGTGAGATGGTTTCCAGACAGATTTTTTTCCTTGAAAACACTGTAATCTTTTGTTTTGTTTGTTTAGACAAGGTTTTCCTTCCTTTTCAAGTTTTGGCTGGCCATGAACATGTGATCTTCTTGTCTCAGCCTCCAGGCATGCACACCTGTTTAGCGCTCAAAGCCCCTTACCATTTCTATTGTCCTCTGTGATTTTTATTGTGGAGATCTTAATTTCTGATATTTAAAAATAAGCTTCTGAGTATATGTATACATAGATATGTGGTATAATAAATTATCTTCTCTCTACCTTTTAAGAAACAGTCTTTCTAATAAATGTCTAGGAGTGTCTGTTCTTCCACTCTGTCTGCCCTTTCCATTAGAATAAGGTAATCTATCTTCTCTTATTTGTTGCAAAGGGGGAATATATTCCAAAACCCCCAGTAGGTACCCGATGCCACAGGTCACACAGAATATTCTATATACTATTTTTTTTCTATATGTACTTATCTTTGATGTAGTTGAGAACTTTCATCTTTTTACTTAGAGTAAGCATTGCATAGCTTCTCATTTTCATAACTGAATGGCTATCATCGCTTCACATGTGACAGTAGTTAGTTGAGCACAGGCTCCAGAATACCACCACAGAGCTACTTAGTACCTAATGGGTAGATAGTATGTAGTTCTTGAATACAATATTGACTTACAGAGTAATGGGCAGTTTATTACACTACTCAGAATAATACACACTTTAAAATTCATGAATTGTTTAGGAGTTTTCCACTTACTATTTTCAAAGTATGGCCGATGGCAGGTAAGTTAAACTAGAGGGAGGCAAATGTACCCATGCTTTTATTTCAAATCATGAAAGCTGTTCCAAACAGTCCCGGTTATTTTTTCCATCTCTTGTCTTGTCCCTGAAAAGTATCAATTGTATATCAGCATTAAAACATGTCAATATCTCACATCTCCAGAATTCCCACAGTAATCAGTATAAAAGTCTAACCAGTTTGGGACTAGGGAGATGATTCAGTGGGTAAAAATCACATGCTGCAAATGATGGGTGTGGCTGAGAATGTCTGTAAACATGGGAGATGGGAGGATTCCTGGGACCTTCTGTCTTCCAGCCAAGTTTCCGGTTCAGTGAGGAAATGCTGTCTCAAGGGACTGAGGAGAACGATCAAAGACCATGACACCTGGCATACTCCTCTGTCCTCAACATGCACACATGAACACACGGTTACACACACAGCCACACAGCCACACAGCCACACAAATACAAAAGATTTGGAAACTTCAGTGTGCCCAAAGAGCGTTGCTACAGTGATAAATGGTGAATAAGCATCAGGATGGCAGCACAAAAGGCCTGTCTCCTCAGGGCAGAAAAAAAAAAAAAAAAAAAAAAAAACCTAAGTGGGATCTTTGCAAGCTCCAACTCTGCTTTGCTCCCTGTGCTCAGTACCCTCTGAAGATGCCTGTGTAATCTTGCTTCAGGCTCTCTCTCAGGTCCCTCCCCTGCCTCTCTTTTTCTGTATGCCCATGCTCATAGTCTAGCCCTTGGGCAACTCTACCTGATATTTGCTCTGAGACTGGAATAGGCTGTTCCCTCTCACTGAAAATAAACCTCCCAAATCCCCTGCTTTTTATCATTTAAATTGCATGACTGCCCCCCATCCCATCCCCTGAGAGCAACCTCCTAAGACTTCCCAGTCGCTCTCCTTTATCTCCTCCTATTGAGTCTCCACAGAATTTATTAGCATTGCACATTTTATTGCTTCTGAATACCTTTCTCTTGTCTCTCACTTCAAACCTTGAAAGACCTTATCTACTTCATGGCTGACATTTCCTGAATGACAGAGAGTTCCCTTTACTAATGAGCAATTCTAAAAATAAAATTGCTTGGTATAAATACTTGAAACTTAGAGCAGTCATGATTTTCAGCTTCATAGTCTTAATTCTAAGATTTAGTAATCAGTTTATGTATTATCTCAAGACAGATTGCTTTTACCTTTTGTGACTATTTTTAAACAAATTAATACTACTGTTAATATTTTATTTCCTATATAGGATTAATATAGGAAGAATAACTGTGTAGAATTCTTTTACAAAATTAAACTGGTATATTTTATTTATTTATTATTTATTATGTAGACAGGTTGGACATGAAATCATAATTTTCCTATTCCCATCTCCTGAGTCCTGCAGATACAGCAAAGTGCCACCATTCCTTTTATTTATTATTATTAACATCTGTTGTAAAAAGTCAACAAATGTTACTCTATATCTATTATTCCATTCCATGCATTATAAATTTAAAAAATTTTCTAGACTTAAAATTATACATTTTATCTGCTGTGTGTATGTGTGTGTGTGTATGTGTGTGTGTGTGTGTGTGTGTGTGTGTGTGTGTGTACTAATATATTTATCTGAACACATTTTTGTTTTTAAGAACTGTAGGGTAAACCACATGAAACACATAGTAATGAGGACTTCTTAGGTTCTCAAAATCATTTATATATTTGTTTTTCAGGAGAGGAAACTACAATTAAATTACTTTTCAGAAGTAATACATGCCAAGGACTATCTCCATAAAATGAATACCAGCAAAACCATACACACATAGCAACTCCATCTAGCATCTGCAGATAGATGGCTGTACAAGCCAGTCATTGGCTATCAGATGTGTGGGTACTCCAGTCTCTTAGATAAAGTGACATGGTATTTGAACATGATGTACACAGCCTCCTGCATGTTAATTCATCTCTAATAGCTATGCCTCATACAGCACAATCACCTCGCAAATAGTTGCTACAGTGCACTGCTTAAGGACATGGAGGGCTGACTGTAAACAGGGCTGGTTCTTAGACTCCATGAAGCTTACTTACTAACTCAGATTACAGATTTTGTTTTAGAGAATCCTATTTTCTTATTTTGTTCAAGAGTATTTTCATTTGCCTCTTTTGCTTTGTAACTGTCTATAAGTCTTTAAGAAATAAAGTATCTAACTTACACTCACCTAAGCAATTTCAGCTTTTTATAACTCTATATTATAAAAGATGCTATATAACCTTGGAAACAAGATAGAGAAAGCCAGATATTTCACTTTTACATTTCTATCACCTCCACAGTCATGTCTAATAAAAAAATTTTAATCACAAAGGAATATAATATAGTGTGCAAAAGTTTAGAAGGTCTCATTAATACCTTTATTTTCTGCTCTAATGTTTAATGTTTAAAGTTTCATATGCTGTATGAGTTTGGAACAAACAGTAGTATGGCATATTCTTTTATCAAAGTGGAGGGTGGGCCAGACTTTGGTCACACAGTGATAAGTAGGTCTTTATTATTTTGGACACCAATACAATGAGCATTCTTCCCAAACTAGCATGTGCTCTTTTATTACAAGCATGATCAACATTACTGAAATGGGTACAAGTTTGGCTTACTGTAGAATTGGCTGATATCATTAACTGGACATGGAGTAGAAATATAATACATGATGGTTTTCCCAGTTCTGTTGACTTAAAATCAGTATATTAATATATGTCTTAATGTATGGAATTCTGAAAGCTCAAAGAAACTTAACAGGCAATATTTACCTATCATCATTTTATACAGATTTCACATATTTAACTTTGAAAGAAAATACATTTGTATGTTAATAAAGTATTACTATTAAACCTTTATTTTTCTCATTAGAATGAAGTAATGAATCAAATGGAACAAGAAAAAATGGCAAGGAGAGATTTAGCATAAAACAATATTTCTTAAGAAAATGTTAAGAATGTCATGAAAATATGCACATTGCTTATAAGTGAATGGCAGAGTCCAGCCATTTACCTTAAAAATCAAAGGTATTCATGGCCATCAATTTTCAATTTAGGACCTTCAGCTAGGAATGGATCACTCCTAAATAAACGGTGTTCTGAATTTACAATGAAATAAATAAAATAATCTGTCTGGAAGACTAACTGGATGTCTTCTTTCTCAAATCATAACTATTTATTTTGTAAGAGGGAATGTATTAATTGTTCTATTTTTTTCTCCAGAGAAAGATTTATTTAGAACAGGTCTAAGCAAAATATTATAAAGTCAAAACTAACAATGCACTATTTAAAATTATAATTAATCATTGAACACCTATCTTCTTCAGTATGGGCTTTGCAGTCATTTGCATATTGTATTCAGCCAACAATCACATTTTAAATTTTAATTAGTAGACATTAAAATATAATTAGCAGCAAATAACAGAATGACAAAGCTACAAAAATTCTTGAAGAACAAAGGAAGCAGCATTATTTAGTTTGAGTGTGAAGTGCTCTTCCAGGAACCTGAGGAGTCAAATGTCTTCTTCAGCTTTCCCACTTGGCCTTATTCTTTTTCTGAGATAGAATATTGATACCATGAGGAGATCTGTCAAAACCAGGATGTGCATTCTTCAGACTCGAGATCCCCAAATTTCAATAAACACACATATAAAAGAACGTAGCAAATTCCAACATAGCATACACACAACAAAATTAATTCATTTATCAGAGACATATACAATTTAAATATGCATTTTCCAGGAGGAAGCGGAGGACAACAGAGACAAACCATAGCTGTCAAACCAGTTGAACAGAGAAACACACTACAATTTCACACAATACATGGGATTCCAATGAAAAATAGTGCTTTAGGAAAAGAAGTAGGTGACCTAATATATGCTCATGTATATTATTTGTATATAGAATGAAGAAAGTCAGCTTGCATGAGTGTCATATCTATCTATCTTGAAGTCATATCACACATACTGTAAGCAATTTACAGAATTTGCCAGGTTTGCATATACAGAAATTGCAAAATGAATTAAAATACATTGAAATATAGCACACTCAATATGCATGAATATAAACCTCCCAGGATTGACTAGGATTGGCCATAATTGGCACTTGCTACCACAGAACAAGAACAGCAATCAAGGAAAAGAAAGGAAACTCCAAGAAAAATTCCACGGGGGGGTGGGGGAAAGAAGTTAAAAAAATTTGCTTTGATTCTTCCTTATGTAAAATAAAGTTGCCTGTTGTTGATTTGCAGTGTCCAGCATTTTGTTTTTTTGCTTTCCGTTTTTCCCCAGCTGGGGTGCTGTTTGAATAGTTTGCATGTCTTAAGCTTTCCATCTTTGTTTGCTTCGTTCAGATTAGATGTTCCTTGGTAGGAAACTGGAGGAATCCATGGAAATATTTACTATACTGATGACTTTCAGGTCAAGTCTTGAGTCAGTGAAATGCAGATTTTATTTGTTGGAAGAAAAGAAAAAAAAATAGATCTTGTTATTAGAAAATGTCCTATCGCTTCACATTAATTCTCTTCAAATAAAAGATCAGCGACTTCCCAAAGAAAATACTATCAATAAAGCGTGTGATAGCCTCTTCACTTAAGCTTCCGGAAGCTGTTGCTCCTTGTGTAGGTAACTAGAGTACAGGGGTGCAGAATGGTGCTTGGAGTTTAGGGTCAACTTTGCTGTCCGCTCCGTAGATTTTACAGGCGATTTGCTCTTTGCTTTAAGAAGAGAAAGTGATATTGGAAAAAAGTCAGCACTTTAGATTAAAGCAAAGCACCCTTCACAAAGCCACAAACAAGAAGCAGGACAGAAAGTCCATGGCTTGTAGCTATCCTCGCACCTGCGGAAGAAGTTATAAGATATTCGCTCATCTTGAAGATTTCCAATGCTCCTTATTAGGCTGTTTAAACATACATATATATATATTTAATTAGCTCGCCAGCTTGGCTCTGGTGCTCATGAATGTCTTGGCATGCACTGCAAACAACAACACATACAAAACATTTCAGTCCCAAGAAGCTGGTGGTCTCGTTTTTAAACAATGCCATCCCACGGGCTGGGAACTCTGAGAGCAAACGAATCCAAACACTTTTCCTTTAAGAAATGGTATGAGTGTCACTGCATGTGGTAATTTTGTTGTTTCCACCCTTGTCCCTGAGAGCACACTACCTATTTCACTAGTGTATTAGTGTAAAAGTGCAAGAGAAATTCCAAGCTTAAGAGCATCGAGCTGCTCAGTGCTGAGGACTGGGCTGGAGGCGACCTCCTCTTGGTGATTACTTTCAGAGTATGACGTTTCTTAAGCTTTTATCCCTCAAGTCTGGGGAAGAGCTATCAATGCCAGACACTGAATGAGCTCTGAAACTAATTGTATATGGTAGGGAGGGCATAATATTGTACCATCATAATATTCCATTATTATCCAATGAACTCCTAGCCTTAATGACATATCAGCAACTAATAGTAATAACCAAAAAGCAATGAGGGACAAAAACACTCTTTCTTCTTTATTTATTTAGTTGGAGAATGGTTATAAGGACTTGAAAGGGAAAAGGGGTGAGAATTCAAATGGTTTAATATTTTAGCTAAACCAGGCTGGCTCTTTAATCTCAATGATAGAAACTGATGCAGTCAAAGAGCTGCTGCAGAACAGGCATATGAGGCTTTGGAAAGGTCTGCTGAAAGACCATCATTGCTATTTATTTTTTGTCAGCTTGCTTTGTGCTGTCTCTGATTGGCTCCTGTGTGTGTGTGTGGGGGGGGCTGTGCATGTTACAAGGTATCTCCTTCCATCAACCTAAGGACTAGAGACCCAGTAAGTGTCCTGTGTTCAATGTGTGAAAATGTTCAGAGTCTCAAGTTACTCTCAGTTGCCCTGTGGCTCTAAGTACAGAGAACACACAAATCAAACATGTATTCTAATTCATTAACTGTACATAACTAAGCATGTATTCATATTAGATTTTGAAGTAAGATTCTTTGACAGAAAGAAAAAGACAAATTACTACCCAGTTCTCTAAATAGCTGATTACACTTGATTTGACACAGATATATATGCTACCAAGAGAAGTTTAAAAATGATGAAAGTAGCAAAAATCTTGGAAAAGGGGTACACTCCAGGAGTTATTTTGTGAAGTAGCAGTTTCCTTCTCAGGGCGAGGGTCAGAAGTTGGGTTTTAACTGAGATTGCTGTTTCTTGGTGCTCCTTTCTTAGACCTACCCTTTCTATAACATGCCTGGCCCGTCATCCCTCTTACACATTAATGAAGGAGCAGCTGTTTCATTTGACTTAGTATTTCCTCTCATAGGTCTAGCATGTGCAAGTTAAAGCATAATTTACATGAATATTTTAATGGGAAATCAAGCCAGTATGACATGGTTGAAATTCTTTGAAAGTTGTTGGAAATTTGAATTGCCTTCAGATAGATGCACAATCCACCATTGGAACACAGCACTGTGGTTTTCAAGGTTGGAATCTTTTATCCACTCTAGTTGCATGCCTTCACTAGCACATTCCTAATTAAATAAACTTATTTCTGCTAGGACAACCATAAAGACTTTTTGTTCTACGTGGTAAATTCTATATTCTGTTTCATCACATCACAGAGTTGTCTTCACATCTTTGGTTTTTATTTGTGTCCTGAGTGAGGAGAGATGGAATGTTTTTTTTGCGGCCTCTAAGACAGTGAAATTTGAAGCTCTAACATGTAGTCTAACATGTATGTAATTGTACCAAATTACCAACATCACTGTTTCATAAGATTCATACTATTTTCGTAAAACAATATTGTCAGTCAACATATTCTTTTTGATTACATATAAATATCAGAAGCATTGTTTTTCATCAAGAACAAACCAGCAATTCCCCAGGCACTCTGTTCTTCCCATACAGAAATATTGCCCTTTTGTGAAACAGTAAGCCAATATTACAGTCAGTAGTCTTGAGTTCCAACTTCTGTTGCCATCCATTTCTGAGATTTCAAGCGATACACTTATTTTTTCTATGTTTTCTAACATGAGCCTAACTATGCATGTATTATGATTTTGGGTGGCCTTTTTCATATTAGTAAACCAGATCTGCCTCAGAATAGATTCACCTCTTTTTCCTCTCTTCCCAGGTCAAACTTGTAACCTATTCCTTGCCTTAAAGAATTATACATTTCAGCAGTCATTGCCCTCAGAAGACCTACTGTTCATGGTATGTTTTTTTTCCCCCAGAATATGGGATCCTCTTTCTCCTCTTAACTTTTCAAGTATTGTGGTTATGCTTCTCTTGTGCTTTTATACAGTTAACATTGTTTGCAATTAATTATATTTATATATTATCTCAATGACCACATTAACAATCCATCAAAAGGCATAAATTCTTTTATGCAACTGTTAAACATACTGTTCATATAAACAACAATGCCTTTAGAAGTTTTAAACTTTCACCTCTAACATACTATGTGGAGAAGAGAGATGTTGTGTCTAACTGGTGGAAGAAGATGTGCAGGTACTATGTCTAGAAGGCCATATTGGATAAGGAGTTTTCTTCCAGAGTCAGAATGCACCTAGTTGTGTCCTTGGCTTGTAGCTAGTCAATAATGGCACCTGTCCCCACCCCCTCAGTCATTAAAGATGTTCATAGGGTACTCTTGTGTGTAATCCCCATGTCTGCGAAGCTGGCGGAGATATTTTCTCTAATGTAAGAAGAAAAGAAGTGTTCAAAAAGTTTTAAAAAGCCTATGTAATGCAGAAATCTACTTTTTTTTTTTATCTCCTTTGAGCCCTCATTGTTTTAGCATTGTTTCCTGAGACAAAGACAAGCACACAATTTTCATGAGTGTGAGAAATCTGTTTGAACAAGGACCAATGCGTTAAAGCACCAATAATTCCATCATTATCTTTATCATCATCATTGCTGCATAATATAATAGAAATTTAACTGTTTATTTTTAAACAAAATTAAAAACAATCCAATCTCAGTAGTAACGACTTGTCAGACTTCATCAGTTGAGGAGAAATAGTATGTGTTACATGACCTGCTAATATTATCTGTCCCAACAGCTATGCTCTATCTCAAGTCATCAACAGGAATCACATTCATAAAGAGGTTCAGCCTTCATTTTTCCATCACATGTTAGAAGCAGTTAAATTGTTTCCTTCTTTTAGCCCCTTGATGCTCTCCTCTGCCAGATGGAAAAATTTATCTCCTTCATAACTTCCATTTAGCATTTATTTGTACTATATGTCTAACTAAGCTTGTGAGCTCCAATCTGAATACGTTTTATGTATAACTTTCTTATGCACATCTGACTTTTAGTTGGTGTAGGAACAAGAAGCAGCCCTACTAAAGGCATCTTTTGGACACACCACGTGTGATGTATGAGAACCTCCTTTTTTTATTTCTCCCCGACCACCTAATATCATCAAAAGGAACAAGAAAAAAGAAGAAATAAATTCTCTCCTTGTGTGGTTTCACTAGTGAGAATGTAGAATATTTATTTTGTAAGAAAAAATATTGGAGATGCCCATCGTAAAATCAGAACTCCCCTAAGATAAAGATAAATGCAACAATATCCCAGTACTTTGTTGTCTGGAAAGTCAGTGTGTCTATGTCCTTTAAGCCCCACTGCAGATAGACCTCTTTGACATACTTTTCTTTATTACAGATGTCAGCTTTAAGAAGTAAAATGACTATAGAAGAAATTTTGAGCTAACTTTTGATGAAAATTTTATCAGGTAAGAGAAGACCAAATAATAGTATTATTTTATCCTAGAAACTTTTTTTTAGAAGAAGATCTTTTTTATTAGAATTCCTAAGGGTCTAGGGACAATTTTGTTTTGCTTTTATGAAGAAGTTAGTTTTTTTTAAATTTGAATTTATTATAGGAAGTTGATTGCTAAGTGCTGTACAATACTTCCAACTGTTACTAGGTCGTGAAGCAGGCAAAGTCAAGGGATGAGAAACATTCAATGCTTCTGAAGGCAAAGTTCAAAGAGCCTTAGAGAAGTTAGCATCATTTTGATTTAATACATAAATTACTAACTTTGCTGTGCCCTGATATACTGGCCATAGCAGCTTTTCTTGCTTTCCTTTTGTCAGCTAATTACAGACCTCTTCTAGTCAGAGATCTTTGTATTGAGGTCCATAGAGAAAGTGTAACTGCCTCTCCATTCCAGCTATCACTAAGAAGGCATTTGAATGTTCCAGACTCTCTCCTTGCCTAAAAATCAGTCACTTCAGTGTTTTTAGGTATCTACTTTCTAATGAAGACTGGACCTGTAAGAGGAATGTTGCTTCCCTCCAACAAAGATCATAGTACTTCTTTTAAAATGTATTCTCTCTCTCTCTCTCTCTCTCTCTCTCTCTCTCTCTCTGTCTCTCTCTCTCTGTGTGTGTGTGTGTGTGTGTGTGTGTGTATGTGTCTGTGCACAAGTGTTCACATGCACATGTGGACAGGAAATTGTGTGTGCATATGTATGTACAGGCCAGAGATTGATACTGAGCTTATTCCTCCATCATTTTCCACCTTGTATACTGAGGCCAGAGCTCTCTAATTATTCTAATTTAAAGAACCAGCTTGTCCCAAGTTTTTCCTGTTTCTAATTCCAGCGTATTGGGATTATAAGAGGCTGTCACATCCCACATGACACTTATGTGGATACTGATACATGTTTACACAGGAAGTACTTCTATTCATTGAGCCAATTCCCCAATCCTGAACTCTGTATTTTACACTTGTAGTTTAATTATTGAGCAAACTCCTAGTCTGTTTTCATAGGACACCTTAACTAAGGACATTTTCATGGTGATGTCCCCAACCAAATGCAAACGATCTTGTCAATCTTGTAATC